TCAAACGTTCAATGACCAACAATACCGGGTTTGTATTATGATCCCTGTACAACTGCTTTTGGGTTTGGTTGTTCGAAGACGGTTAATAAACTAGAAATTGCCATTTAAACATTTCTTGCATTTGTTTTTAACTCCTTCAATAAATGCTTGCTCGCAAGAATTAACGTTTTGGTTTCGATGGTCAGCTGTACTTATTGATTTTAGAAGTGTCCTTGAATACCAGTGGACCCTTCGTGAATATTTTTAAGACATTTGCTGATTTCCTACACACCGGACTCTATAAAATTAAGTGAATTTTAAAAGTGTTTGCAGTGTATAAGGATACCTTGCGCTTTACACCGTAGAAACCAACATGTGTCTTATTTATAGGCCTGCTCAAAGTTTATCGTTGGTGATAACGGATACATAAATCGAAGCTCGCGTTTGACACACCAGCATTCCCATAAAAATACTTATTTCGCAATTTCTTCCTAAGCTGGCGCCATTGGGCTGATTACTTTCAGTCTTCAGTATTCTCCTGTGCAAACCTCAAAGAGCAAGGCGCTACGTTCACCATATTCCTGTCCTTTTATATTCCAACATTTTCTGTGTAAGAAGGATCCGTTGTTCGCCATCTAGTTAGGAGACATTTTCTATTTTGTTAGCTTGATCATGGGCGCATATATTTAGTAGTACTACTATTACAGTGTAGGCATATAAGTATCACATTATTTTTCAATCTACGGACACTGAACATGCTTCATCTATAATTTATGCACCTGATGAAAGCAGACCCAACGAAAAAGACATTTTTCCTACAGGTTAAATTGTGAGAAACATGGTCGACATCTAGCGGTCTCTTTAAGAACGTCTCTTTGAGTCGAAGTAAAAAGGATAAAATGTTCACGATTATTCGGGTCACCTAGGTGCCAACTGTACAGGCCGATAGGTGTAAAGTATCAGGGGGTTAAGATTAAAAAATACTCTAGTCTCGTCTTGCTTAATTTATACTAACTAAGGGAATTGGGTTTAAAATTTGCTAATTTTTGTATGGTTTATCCAAGATCGATTT